ATATCATAGGAATATCTTTTTGTGTTTTATTGATTATGAAAAGGCATTTGACTCTGTAGTTCATAATAAATTATGGTTAATCTTGAGAAGACTGAGAATTCCAGAACTCTTAATTGTGGTCATATGAAATCTGTACCTAGACCCAGAAGCTATTGTCCAAACAGAGCAAGGGAACACAGCATGGTTTAAAATCAGGAAAGGTATGCATCAGGACTGTATCCTCTCTCCATACCTAGTCAATCTATGTGCTGAAAAAAAATCATCTGAGAAGTTGGACTTCATGAAAAAGGGATGGCGTCAGGATTGGAGGAAGATTCCTCTACAGCCTATGTTATGCATATGGCACAACCTTCCTTGCTGAAAGTGAGGAGGACTTGAAACATTTGCAGCAGAAGATCAAAGAATATAGCCTTCAATATAGATTGTACCTCAACACCAAGAAAAAAAAATTCTCACAATTGGGCCTATAGGCAATATCATGGAGAAAAGATTAAAACTAACGACTTCATCTCACTTGGATTCACAGGCAATACACTTGGTATCAGCTGTACCAAGGAACCTTATTGCACTGAGAGAGTCTGCAAAAATTCTCATATTGCACTGAGAAAGTCAGGGAACTCTCCAAATTACTGAGAAGCAATGATGTTAGTTTGAAGACTAAGGTACACTTGATTCAGGTCATGTTCTTTTCAGTCACTTGCTATGCTGCTGAGAACTGGACAATGAATAAGGATGACAGAAGACAAAATTGATGCCTTTGAACTGTGGTGTTGGAGAAGAGTATTGAAAATCCTTTGACTGTCAAAAGGCAGATAGTTATATCTTAGAGAAGGAGAAGCCAGAGTGCTCCTTGGAGACAAGGATGATGTCCCTTACAGAGAGACATCGTGCTTGGGAAGTTTGAAGGATGGTTAAAGAGAGGAAGACCCCCAACCAGGTAGAGTGACATATTGACTGCAGCAGTGAGCTCAAGTGTGCCCGAGATTGTGAGGATGGCACAGGATTAGAGAGGATTCAGATCTGTTGTTCATGGGATCACTATGAGTCTTCCTCAACTTGACAAGACCTAACAATAGCAACAACAAACTGCCAAATCCAACTTTCTTTTATTGGAACCATGTCAGCAATAGAAAGTTACTAAGACTTCTGCTAAATCAGTAGTATTAAGACAAAAATCTAAGTACTTTACTTTTAAGAATAAAATATATAACTTTTCACTTGAGGACAACATATAAGTAATTACTTTTTTAAAAAAGAATGTTAAGAAGAGACATTTTTCTTTTTATTAAAAATATTTCCCCCCACACTTCCCTTCAATGACATTATATTTCATACAGTCATTCCCATACATTGTGTTATATAAAATTAGTCACCATTGGACTATGCCTCATCTTTTCAGGTCCCTACTAGGTCTTTTCCATTTCTTTTACCCCTTCCCTCCACCCACCAGTTGTGCCAGTCTGTGATTTTTTTTGTCTCTACCTGTGGTCACCCTCCACTGCCACCCTTTCCCTTCTTTGGATCTCTATACACATCTTACTAGTTATCCATCTATTTTTACAATAATGGTCTTATGCAGTATTTGTCCTTTATGAGACTGAGTTAGTTCACTCAGGGTAATGCTCTCTAGTCCCTCCCAAGTTATATAGCTTTAAAAAAAGATATTGTTTCTGAGTACTGCACAGTAATCCATGTGTGAATGTACCACAATTTCTCAATCCATTTATTTGTGGTTGGATATTTGGGCTATTTCTATGTTCTCAAGATGGTGAATAATGCTGCTATGAACATTGGTGTACAGATCTTCATTTGTATCTCAGTTCTAATTTCCTTGGGGTATATTCCTAGTAGTGGGAAAGCTGGGTCATATGGACTTTTTATGTTCAACTTTTAGAAGAAATGGCAAACTGTCTTCCAGAATGGTTGTGACATTTTACAATCCTACCAATAGTGGATGAGAATTCCCACCTCTCCACATCCTTGCCAGCATTTTTTGCTTGCTGCCCTGCTAAACTTTGCCATTGCTACTGGGGTGAGATGGTATATCTCATTGTGGTTTTGATTTGCATCTCTCTTATTGCCAGTGATTTAGAGCATTTCTTCATGTGTTTGTTAGCCATCTGAATATCTTCATCTGTGAAAAGTCTTTCCATGTCTTTTGCCCATTTTGCAATTGGGTTATCAGTCTTTCTCTTGTGGAGGCCATGTAGGGTTATGTAAATTTTTCTTATGAGACTCTCATCTGAGATGGTACTGCTAAATGTTTTTGGGGGTTTTTCCAGTTGGTTAGGTTATCTTTTTATCCTGTTGGGAAAAGTTTCTGATGAGTACAGAGGTTTAATCTTTAGAAAGTTCCATCCATCAGTTTTATCCTTTTCAGATTATGCATTTTTGGCTATATTTGGCAGTCTCTTTATACCATAAACTAGACCTTCTAATCTTGATCCTAGTTTGTCTATTATAAGCATTATGGCTTGGGGCTTTACTCCCAGATATCTTCTGTAACTTCTAAATTGTTTAGCTTTGAGCAATGTGAACCTGGTCAGTAAAATGGGAATAACAGTAATTATTTTTGAGGATCATTGCTGGGAAATTTGTCAAGTACTTAGCTTCTTTTATCCCTTCATTTTGTCACATTGTCTAAAATGAAAGAAACGTACTTTTAGCTATTTAGAGAATTGTGTAGGATTAAAGTTTACTTATCTCTGAGTGACAGCAGGGGAGAAGGAAGAGAAAGATAAAGATAGGATTTACCTACTGCAGGTCCTTGGACCAGAATCTTTTCCTAAATCCTTTCCAGTAATAAAGTGATTATTGATAAGATAAACCTTATTTTCTGGGTACTTCCTGTAAGAGTCTGCCTTTAGACCTCAGATATGAAATTAGTGCTCATTTTGACATAACCTGCCTTTGACTGGGTCACACACTCAGATATGTGTATGAACGGCTCTAAAGTTCTGCAAAGGGGCTGTGGTGGAGTAGTATGTTACATGTTGTGGTGCTAAGCAAAGGTCAGGGATTCTTAGGGGATACAGTTGCTACCTGGTCTCTCTCACGCTTATTGAAAAGGGCTGGAGTCTCCGAGGAAATGGGAAGGAAATTATTACTCCAGCACCAAAGCAATAGTATTTCCGCCAAGACGAAGAAGTAATCCCCACCCCAGCCAATCACACAAATCCTTAGGTTGTGCTGGACTAAGACCAAGTTTGAGGAGGTTGGGAGTCAGTAAAAGCAGTGGCCATGCTGAGGGTCATTCTTTCTCTCTCTTATTGTGATAGCATGCTATAAGATTTGGGTTCACACCTACCTTTTCAGGGATCCTTCACCCTTCCCCCTCTTCTTTCTTTTTCACATTAACTCTTTTGCATGGCCCATCTTTCACTAGCTGTGCCTCTGACTTATTGTCGTCATAAATCTTTTTCACTTGTTTTGCTCTGTGTGTGTGCATGCATGTGTTCATTTACCCATAATTACCTCACTCACCCCCTCATGGATAATAATAGCAAGTGGTGAAGAGATAAAGCAAAATCTGGTTTTATTAGGTTTCAGTTCTACTCCACCAGCTGCTTCATAGGAGAAACATGGGCAGTCTCCTCTTATAAAGATTTACAGCTTCAGAAACCCAATCGAGGGTCCTGTGAATCTGAAGAAACTTGACAGCAGTAGGCTGATCGTCTCCAAAAGAATAGCTAAATTCAGTGAATGAATATTCCTTGTAGAGCTGGGTACCATGAAATAGAAAAGTTAACAATATGAGAATGAAAAGTGTAAAAAGAGAAAGCAAACAAAAAGTCACAAGTAAGAAATGAGTAATTAGATTCCTTCCTCTCTTTATTTATTGGCTTTGAGAAGGAACTGTGGAATCCTCAGAAGTATAATTTATTGATAAAACTTTTTTATGCAATCATATATTAAATTATATATTGAACAAGCATACAAAATATTATTTGTTCGTTGTGTTGTTAAGTGCTATTGAGTCGCAGGTGACTCATAGCGAACCTATGAATGAAAGTCCTAGGTACCTCATGTATAACTTTCATCCTTTCTCCAGGTTCATAGTGTTTCCAGAAGCAAGCTATTATGGAAGTGGATGCCACTCCTGCTTCCAAGCTTGTTTTAATTGGGGAGATTCACCAAACATTGTCCACCATGGGTAACCATTCTCGCATTTGACTCACTGTCACAGTGTTCGGCTTCACAGCAACCATGAGTTACTTAAAAATACATTTTAAATATATGTGTAGATGAAGGCATACAGTTCTTGAGGGCTTTTTGGAATGTATCAGTTTAGTCAAGGTCACTTATCCTGCCTAGTGGGGCAACTTGTTAGATGGACAGCGAATGCCATTGCCAACATGTTTACATCTTTGACCTATCACTTTTTAAAGTCACTTCGGACATCGTTGGCTAATAGATGTCTAACACTTGAAAGCAGCGTTTGATAACTTGATCTCAAGATAATTTATAGTTGTATACTTGCCCTGGTAGTAAAGTAGTTCACCTCAAACATTGTACAGACATATCTTGTTTTATTGTACCTCACTTTATTGCACTTTGAAGACACACTTTTTCATAAATTGAAGGTTTGTGGTAACCCTGCATGGAGCAAGTATAAGGGCACTATTTTTCCAATAGTGTATGTTCACTTTGTGTCTCTGTGTTACATTTTGGTGATTCTCATAAGATGCCAAACTTTTTCGTAATGCTATTGCACATTTACTAGATTACAGTATAAAAACAACTTTTCACCTGCAATAGGAAAACAAAAAGCTCATCTGATTCACTTTCTTGTGACTCTTGCTGTATTGTGGTGGCCTGGAGCTGATGAACCTGCAATATGCCTATATTTGAAATGATGACACATTTACTCTGCTGCATGAAGCAAAGTCATTTTCTTCCAAGACTCCAGCCCATCACATCTTTGGATGCCATTTTAATCATGTTGTGTGTCGATCCCAACAGACCATCTTGAAGTCTGACATAGTCTTTGTTACCAACAGTTGCCGTTGCTCAGCTGATACGTATGGACCCCAATGCGCACACAAATACGATGACTGTGAAAGAGGCTCTAAGCACCTTTGTGACCATGGCATCTGTGAGAACTTACCTCGAACTCAAGTTGAACAGGTGGGTCCCTTCCCCAAAAGCAGCTCTACAACTAGTAGAGATCTGAGGTTATTAATGCTTTATCCTGTGGTGATTGCACAGGATTAAGCCCCCAACTTAACATAAGATTCTGTTCCAATAACTCTACTCTAAGTCTCTTGTGAGGTAAGTTGAACACTTCCTTTATTTATGATTAGGAACATGGAGGGACAGCACAGGAGAGGAAAACCCTCGAGGAGATGGATTGAATCAGTGACTGGGATAATAGGGGTAGGTGTGTCGGAGACAGTAAAACTGGCACAGTATAGAGCAGGGTGTAGGGCTGTGTACATAGAGTTTCTGTGAGTCGCAGGTGGCTCGATGGCACATAATAACAGTAACAATAACAACAACAACAACAACAACTTTATGTTCTTGTTGAGTATTATTAAGTCAGAGCTGACACATAGCTGAACTTCCAGTGGATTTTTCAGAGGCAGTTTAGTCGCGTGGGAGGAGTTTGCCCATCTTTCTCCTGTGGAGCATCTGGTGGATTTGAACTGCATGCCTTTGGTATTGTAGCCAAATTCCGTGCCACTAAATCATCAGATATATATTATTATATATTATTTTGTTTTGGGTAGTTGGAAAAGAGGGCATATAAACTTTCTCAGCAAACTGCATGCTTACATTGTCTGTAGAATATATTACTAACAATAATTGGGGAGAGGGGAAGTAAAATAAAAGGAAAAACCAAAACACTGTGAAAAACAGACTGCCGTTAAGTGTGGCTCATCAGAACTCGAATATATCCTGTCCTGGAGACTACCTGTATGTTAGTATTACCTGTGCAGGTTCAAAGGTGAAGAAGACACTTCCTGCCCTTTAGAAGGGCACAGTTGGAGAGAAAGGAGTCGCTGCACATTAGCAGGAAATAGACACAGAGGTTATGGTTTGATGAAAATATTACTGCTCTTATTATTCTTCATGAACCCACCTGTGGAGCATACCTTCAGCACGCCCTGTGAGCTCTAACAGTGGTTAGATGTGACACATAGAAGTCCCAGTCTTGTTGTTAATGCAATGGTAGGCTCTGGATTGTTTGTTGGGTTTTTTCCTGATTCCTGAACCATTGTGAGTGCTACAGGCACTTTAAACCCACTTTTCAGTACCTCAACTTGATCCTCTGGTTCTCACAACCTTGATACCTGACATAAAAGGTGGCCTGGCCTCTGCATCCTGGGCTCTGCCTGTGGTGAAGAAGAAATAATCATCATTATTTTTAATACTGTGGGGTGGTTGTTTTTTGGGTTTTTTTCCTGACCCATATGATGGAAAATGATTGCCTTCTAATGACAGATGGGGTGGGGAAGAGGAGAGACGTTCAGAAAAGAAACAAACAGAATTGATTTTCCAAAGTCTGTGCCTACATGGGTGTTTTCTTTTCTAAAAACACAGCAGGCTGAGTTGATTGACTTTAATTATATTGACTTACAGTTCTTGATTGTTGTTGCTTTCCCCTGGCATCATTGGGGCAAATTATAGGTTTCTTTTACTCAGAAATAAAGATGCTTCTCTTTTTTTGCATGGTCTTGGGTAAATACTTAATCATACAGGAAGGGAAATTTAAAAAAAAAGTCTTTCAATTGGTTTTATGAAAATGAATGGTAGAGGATAAACAATTTGAATCTTGGTGAGATGTTCAAAGCCCTTTCAGTTTCACTGCCTTTTGCTCAATTTCTGGATTGTTCTTTTCTCCTTGCTGCTCTCATCATCATGCAGCCCATGTACAGCTGCATCTGCCATGCTGGGTGGACAAAATCACTAAACAATGCCACCTGCTCGGAGGACATAGATGAGTGCAGCCTCGAGCCCGCACCGTGTTCACCGCATGTCCAGTGTTACAACACTCAAGGCTCTTTCTACTGTGGGGCCTGTCCATCAGGTATGTGGGCTCTGCATGCCAGCCAGAGCCATTGTTCCCAGTGCCAGAGGTCAGGCCTCTAGCCTCTGCATGCCATGTAGGCATGGTGCTAGGACTGATTGCCTTCTGCTACCAATGATATGACTATTTTAAAAAGAAAACAAAATTACTGCCATCAAGTCAAGCCTAGTGACCATGGAGGACAGAATAAAACTGCTCCCATAGGATTTCCAAGGCTCTGAATCTTTCCCAGCCCAGACTGCCTTGTTTCCTCTCATGGAGGGACTCGAGGATGTGAGCAACCAAATACCTTAATACAATGAATGGTTTCTGTTAAGTCTGGAGGCTTAAAATGCTTAAATACAATCTCCTCCTGTACCAATCAGATCCAATTTGACAGTACACACACACACACACCTAATCATCACCATCATCATCATGATGTTATTGTTGTTGTTAAGTGCCATCGAGTCATAGGCGACTTATAGCGACCCTATGAATGAAAGTCCTGACAGTTGCATCCTTTCTCCATGTTCATAGGGTTTCCCAAGGCAAGCTATATATAGAAGTGGATATCGCTCCTACTTCCAAGCTTGTTTTAGCCGGGGAGCGCCACTAAACGCTGTCCACCATGGGTAACTATTATTGCATTTGACACGTCAGTGTCACAGTGTTCAGCTTCACAGTGACCACAGGTTGCCTCTGTATGGCAAGTGGACACACCAGGGCTATATGACCTAAAAGAATGTTTCATCAAATAATTAAAAAGACAGGCCTTAGGGCCGCATATTAGAGTCACCCACTTGTGGCTTGGTAGCCTCGAATAAATAATAATAATAATAATAATACAAAGCTTAAGTAGTGGGCCCAAGTAACATAATTTGCTGTTTATTGTTTTATGTGCTGTTGAGTCAGAACTGATTCATAGCTGACCCTCCACTGGGTTTTGAGAGGCTGTAAATCAGGAGGAAATCGCCCAACTTTCTCCCATCAGAACAGCTGATGGACTTGAACCATATGACTTTGGGTTGGTAGTGCAACTCCTTACCAGTAGGTCACCAGAGCTCATATGAGTAGGGATGAAATCACAGTGTTGCATTATCTGGTGGGTTGAGGGAGGGGTAAAACAAAGGAGAAAGGTCTGGTTGTTGTTGTTGTTATGTGCCATCAAGTCGTTTCCGACTCATAGCGACCCTATGCACAACAGCCCTAAACCCTGCTCTATCCTGTGCCAACCGCACTGCCTCCGACACACCCACCCCGATTACCACAGTTACCGAATCAATCCATCTCATAGAGGGTCTTCCCTCCACCCTCCCAAGCATGATGTCCCTCTCCAAGGACCCATCCCTCCTGGCAACATGTCCAAAGTATGTCAGATGAAGCCCCAGAATCCTTGCCTCCAAGGAGTTGCTTGGTTTAATCCTCTCCAGGATGAATCTGTTTGTTTTCCTGGCAGTCCATGGTACATTCAATAGGGACCTGAAAAGACAGGGTAATGGTGGACATCGTCCAACGGTGAATGATCGTATGACACACAATGTGAATAAAGAACAGAGTGAAGCACAATGTATGTAAACTCTGTAAGCAAACCAAAATAAAATAATTAAAAAAAACCAGAAACAGACAAAACCCCACACTGCTGAAGAAATTTCATGACAAAGGTGGGGATTTATATAAAATAGAAGTTGATTGTTAAGAATCAAATTTTAGGATAAGATTGACCATTGAGTTTGTGAAGTAAAATATCTCATTCCTATGGCCATCAGCTAATTAGACATGCCCTCAAGTCCCACACTCATACAAACAGATGTTTGCAATCTTTGTCAAGTTATTTGACTTTTGGGGTTTTCCGTTAGAGTCTAGTAGTACATAGGGTCACTATGAGTCATAGGCAACTCGATGGCACATAACAACAACAATAACAACAGTGCCTATTTCAGTGTTTGTGTTTGAATAATTTTTTTATAAATAACAATAAATATCTCCAATCCAAACCAATAGAAGTTAAATCTCCAGAGGATACCATGTGCCAAGTCTCAAAAAAAATATGTGAACTCCAAGTCTGCCTACATTTGAGTCCAAACTTTGTCCCTTACTTTGTGAATCAGAATAGACCCATAGCTGACTTTGCAGTGGTTTTCAGAGGCTGTTAAATGTATGGGAGGAGATTGCCTGTCTTTCTTCCATGGAGCAGCTGGTGGTTCCGAACCTCTGAATTTGGGGCATTACAGCTGGAGAACACTGGTAGGGATTTGCTCTACTAACCCAAAAGCCACTCCTCTTTGCTGGTTCTACATTCAATGACAGAGTGATGGGTGATTTATAGCATTAGGGTATTACTGGAGTGTCAACTATAGTTGGTTCTGACTTGAGGGGAATAAGAAAAGAGCTTAGGTGGAAAATTTTCTCCATTTGTTGACTTATAGTTTAGGAGAAAGTTCCTTCTTTTTTAGCACCTTTAGTCCTAGCATTCCTTGGAGATCTCCATCTGTCTTGACATTAATATTCTCCTGGATCTGAGAGGTACCAAAATATAAGGTTTTCTTGAGTCTATGATCCAGGCTTTACTTTTTTGATCCTGAGTTCTCTTTCTCTCTTTCCATCCTCTCCTCCTTTTCTCCTCTCTTCTACTGATTCAGGTAACACCCTAAGGTAACTTCCTTTAGATCAGGACTGTGACCTGAGTAAAGATACTGCATTTTACCCTAATCCCCTTAAAGTTCACAGACTGAACACATAAGATCGCATCAAGGTGATAATGGCATCATTACATAATAGACAAATTACTGAGACTCACGGCTTAGACAAAGTGACACATGTTTTAGGGTGAATGCCATTTAATCCTTGTAGACATTATGGTGGGAAATTTTGTTGTAGTTCCTGAAGTGACAAACATGATAGGAATTATTACTCTTCCAATTTAACTATGAAAACTGGAGGTTTAAAGAGGTTAAATAAGTAACTCAAAGTCACACGGTTTATAAACAACTGAGTTCAAACCTAGGTCAGCCAGAATTTGGAGACTAGGCTGAGCCGCAGAGCATTATTTCATCCTGCCAAGAAAACCCCACACACCTGATGATCCACTCAGTGTGTAACAACAACATAGAGCTACTTTGGCATAATGGACAGAAAGTTATGCTACCAAGCCCAAGGTAGGTGATTTTAATCTGTGGCACTCAGGCTTGGTTCAAATTGTTTTTTTGGTGAAACATTCTTGTAGGTTGTATAACACTGATCTGTGCATTGCTGTACAGAGGTAACTCGTGGTTGCTGTGATGCTAAACACTATGACACTGATGTGCCAAATGTGATAACGGTTATCCATGGTGGGCAGTGTTTGGTGGAGCGTCCTGATTAAATCAAGCTTGGAAGCAGGAGTGGCATCCAGTTCTGATATGGCTTGCCTCTGGAAACTCTCTAAACAGTGCTCAGGCCTTTCATTCATAGGGTTGCTATGAGTCATCTACAACTCGACGACACCTAACAACAACAACAACATAAGTTTAGGTTTGAGGAGATGAAAAAGAAGTTAAAAAAACAAGTTAAAGACTTTAATTTCTCCATTATTTTGTTTTTACCACTATAAATGTCATATACACAGCTATAAAATAAATTATAAAATATGTAAACAAACTAGATAAAAATACTGTTTCATCTTATCATTCAGAGGACCACCATTAATATTTGTACATATTTCCTTCTAAATGTTTCTCCATGTGCATGCTATTTTCTTTCTCCACACATTGCAATCTTATAGATTCCTAGATTTATATTTTTTAATTTTTGTTTTTTAATTTGTTTATATCAAAATTTATGAACATTTTATAGGCTTTAAAAGAGCCGAAAACTCTGGTGGTGTGGTGTGTAACATACTGAACTGCTAACCTAAAATTGGATTTTTCAGATCCATCAGCTACTGCAGGAGAGAAAGGGAAGCCCCCTCCGGTTAAAATTTACAGCCACAGAAACCAAGAGAGGTTCACTATCACATCAGGCTTAACTTGATGGCAGTGATGTTTTAAACACTCTTATAATCTTAATTATAAGAGCAATATAAATTTGTTTGAATGATATGAATAAACCAGAAATAGTTCAAGTAAAATGCTTTTTATCTTCACAATCAATCTTGTTCTTTTAATAAGAATTCTGTCAGTTCTCTTATATTTATCTTTCCTATACGCATACAAACACATGCATAGATATTAACTGATAGCATACTTTGTCCATTTTTGTAAAATTTGATCCATTCAATTAAGATTTATGTGGAGAATTTCTTTTCATGTGTGTGTTTGCAGTTATTAAAAACCAAACAAACAAAATCCTTTTAGGATTTAGTGACATATATGATGTGTGATGTATTCAGCTATGATCTATCCATTGGGGGTTTTATTCCTGTCTAGGGCACAATATTCCAAAAATAGTATCTTTGTATACTTGTGGTTTTATTAATGTTCAATAAGCATTGAATGTTGGATATGTTAGTCCAATAGTATATATTTTAAAATTTTTAAATGCATACTGTTACATAGATTATTATAACTAAATATCTAAGAGGTTATGAGGGTATCTCATTTACTCACCAAGAACTGGATTCTAGAAATGGTTCTTTTTTCCAGTCTGGTAGGAATTGTTTGTAGGTCTTTCAGTTGAACAGATTTGACTTTTTTTTTTTTAATATAAACTTTGTATTTTATACTGGTTTACTTACAAAGTTGTATACATTGTTTTTCCGCACTGACTCTTTCCTGTTTCTGTATCCCCCCCTCTCCTTCTAACTATTAAATGGTGCCATCCTATGATTAAAGCCCTTTTCCCATCCATCCTCACTTCTGTGCTCTCCTTAGATACTCATACATGTTTTACTAATTATCTATTTCTCCAATAATATTTTTAAACTATTTACATTTCTCTGGCTTTAGAATATTTATCTACAGGGGGGAAAATGTCTATAGAACTGACTTTTCAGGCCTTTTTTTTTTCCAGGCTGGCATGGCAATGGATTGGATTGCCAAGATATAAATGAATGTGAAGTGAATAACGGTGGCTGTTCTGTGGCTCCGCTGGTTGAGTGTGTGAACACACCAGGATCCTACCACTGTGAATCCTGTCCACCAGGTACTGAACCACACATCCCAATAATTTTAAAGACAGAAAGTTTATTTGAGGAACAGGATTTTGTGTGCCATTTCAAAAACTATTTTTGTCTAAGGGGAGACACTCTAAATAGTGCAGAAAGGTTTACTT